ACGGTACGGTCTAAACTAGCAGGTGCTAGCAGTCACCATTCTCTACTTACATATCTTCCCATTCTGTTATTCAGCCTCTGAATTCACTTCTCTCTCCACACAGTTGTCAGCTGATCTTTGCAGAATCTTTATCAGATCCTGTCACTCACTCGATTAAACCTTGGTAACAAGTTCCCATTTCACTCAGGATACAATCACACGTCTTTAATATGTATGACCTTTTTGGTCCCCTGGCTCCTTATGCCTGTGTCCTGTGCCAGTCCTGTCCCTTTGCTTACCAGGCTCCAGGCACACTGGGCTTCTCTTTGTTTTTGTTTTTTTTCATATGTAATGAAAGATTTTCCATTTATTACCCCTTCTGCCTACAGTACTAATCCCTTCTCTTCCTCAGATAAATCCTAGTCATCACAGAGATCTCAGTTTACATATTAATTCCTCAGAGAAACCTTCCCCTAACCCACCAAACACAATCAGTTCCTCTTGCTGTCATCTTTCAGCAAACCCTCAATTATCCATCAGTTTATATTGATATATTTATCTAGGTGATAGGTCATGTAGCCCCTGCTGTCTCCACCAGCGTGTGAGTCTACTGCAGTCAGGAATCCCATCCATTGGACTCATTGCTGGTCTCCTGCTCTGCTCCAGTTCCTGGCACGTAGTAGCTGTTCAGTAAACATACGTGGTCTGAGTGAATGAATAAATCCATGTGGGTGTGTACATAGCTCTTTTTCCAAGATGAGTTCTCTATTAAGGAAATAATCATAGAATCTATACATTTTTCTCCATTTGGGGGTAACATACAGATAGAAGGCTTTTCGGAGCCTTGAAATGATTTAAGCAAGTCTTAGAAATTTATCAAGTGAGGAATTTAAAAAAACAAAATGGGCCACCCAAGGAAATTGTTGAGTCTCCTTCACTTGTGGTTTAATCAGAGGATAATAATTGAGGATATTTAAGGTCTATATGAAGGCTATGAGATATGGACAAGATCATTGGGTAGAACAAAGACTTGGAATTAAAATACTTTTCCTTTTTTTCTTATGTTTGAATCTCTGTTGAAAGTCCAACTTTACTTGCATCTGGAAACTGAAAAGGTTTTGGAATTCTACTCTTGATTTAGAATTCTTTTTCTCCACCATGATATATAACTCTGCTACAATACGACATATGTGTTCCCTTAAAAAAAAATCACTGTACAGGGCTTATGGGAAAAATTAAACTAGGGACATAATACTCAAAAACTTTGTCAGTGACTCATTAAAAAAAAGATAGGCATCTAATAAAAACGGCAGCTAAGTTTTATGATGTTAAGTGGTTAAGAAATATGTAAGTAATATAATAAAAATGGCACTTTACCTTGAAAAAGACGTCATGGGAAGGGCTGTAGCTTGTGAGTTATTGTGAAGCAGTGAAAAGAAGGCTGCCTGAAATCAGAGGGCAGGCGGTACCATCAAGTGTGGATGGAATGGCTTGTAATATGTGTGGTGGACCAAGGGCACTGGTCCGTCTATCTGAGATGGATGTGATTTGTGTATTTCTACACTGGCTTCAGCAGGGTGCTGTGTGTTGTTTCACTTCACGTTTCTCATGAATGAAGTTGGGCATAAGCAAATGTGAGATTTGCATCGTGTTGAAATTGTCCCTTAATATATCCATTGCACTGGGACAAATTTGTACTTTTAAATAAGTGTTAAGAGGTGGTCCAAGATGGCAATGTTGGAAGATCCAGAACTCGCCTTCTCCCACAGACAAATCTAGCCAATCTGTCCCTACTTGAGGATGACATGATTTTACATATAAAACCCTAAAGACTGTACCAAAAAAAGAACTGATAAAACTAATAAATTCAGTAATGTTTCAGGATATAAAATAAATAAATAGAATTCTATTGCATTTCTCTACACTAACAATAAACTACCATAAAGAGAAACTAATAAATTAATCCCATTTGCAATTGAAGCAAAGAGAATAAAACACCTAGGAGTGAATTTAACCAAGGAGTTGAAAGACCTGTGTGTTGAAAACTACAAGACATTAATAAATGAAACTGAAGACACAAATAAATGAAAAAGTATTCTGTGCCCATGGATTAGAAGAATTAATATTAAAATGTCTGTACTACCCAAAGCAATCTGCAGATTCCATGCAATCCCTATCAAAATTCCAATGGCATTTTTCACAGAAATAGAACAAGCAATCCTAAATTTTGTATGGAACTACAGAAGACCCCATATGGACAAAGCAATCTTGAGAAAAAAGAGCAAAGCTGGAGGCATCATGCTTTCTGATTTTAAATTATATTGCAAAGCAGTAGTAATCCAAACAGTATGTTATTAGCATAAAAGCAGACATGTAGATCAATGGAGCTGAATAGAGAGCCCAGGAATAAACACACACATACACAGTCAATTAATTTATGTCGAGGTTGCCAACAATGTAAAATGGAGAAAGACAGTCTCTTCAATAAAATGTGATAAGAAAAATAGACCGCCACATGCAAAAGAATGAAACCAGATCACTATCTTATACCATGCAAAAAACTTAACTCAAAATGGATTAAAGACTTAATGGAACATAAGACCTGAAGCCATAGAATTCCTGAAAGTAAACATAGGTGGGAGCTCCTTGACATTGGTGTTGGTGATTATTTCTTGGATCCAACCAAAAACAAAGTCCCACAAATGTGACCACATCAAACTGAAGAGCTTCTGCACAGCAAAGGAATCCACCAACAAAATGAAAAAGCAGCCAACTGAGTGGGAGAAAATATTTGCAAATCATATATCTGGCAAAGGGTTGATACCAAAATATAAAAAAGCAGAGCCTGGAGGGAGCCCTGGGCTTTGAATAGAGAGGGCTTTTTAAGCAGATAAGGGGAGCATGGTCAAATTTGCAGAGGCACAGGTTGTGTAAGTATTTTTAGAGCGCCTTGATTTCATTTCCAGGAAAGGTCTAATGTTTCCTTCATGATCTTCAGGAGACCTTTTTCTCCATGAGTTGTACAATGCATCAGGTTTCATTTGGATAATTCATGGTACAGAGTCATAGTTCTGATTTATTTGGAAACTCAAGTCTCTGCTTCCTTTCTTTCCCTTTAAGAATGTAGGTTCCTTCATACAAAAAAACAAAAAAAAACCCCAAAACCCTAAGTTACCAAAGGGGAAAGGAGGGGAGGGGTAAATTAGGGGTTTGGGATTAACAGATATATACTAGTATATATAAAATAGATGAACAACAAGGACCTACTGGATAGCACAGGGAGCCATATTCAGTTTCTTGTAATAAGCTGTAATGGAAAAGAATCTGAAAATTGTGTGTGTGTGTGTGTGTGTGTGTGTGTGTGTGTGTATGTATGTATGTGTACTACTGAATCACTTTGCTATACACCTGAAACTAACATTGTAAATCAACTATTTTTCAATTAAAAAAAAAGATTTAAAAAAATCTATGTCTCTTATAATCAGGCCTTGAGTCTTTGATTTTCATCATAGAGTGTATATCCTGTACACAAAGTGCTTAATTTTGTAACAGCCATAATCATAATAGCATGACTTGATAGTTTTTAAAGTAATGACAACAGCAAAACAAAAACAAACAAAAAAATTGGTTAGTGTGGCTGAGTCCGTAACGTCAGAATCTGAGCTTGTATGCTTTATGAAGTGAGTTCCTGGAGTGAGTGGAGTGAGTATTTGCCAAGCCATCTTTCCTGGGTCATCTAGTCCCTCTTTTAATCCCTGATGCCCATTCATAGGGATCTAGTTTTCTAGGATTACAAATAAAGTGGGTGACTTAACCGATTTCTATCTGTGAAAACCTAATTGGACAAACACAAACGAATTCTTTAACTTGATTCCCATCAGTTCCGGAGTATAACTAAGTTGAAATTCCTGGTCCTTCTATAAAAATCAGTAATGTTCCCTTTAGAGCATATACCAGAGATGGAAGAGATGAAATAATTCTGAACAAGCACTAATGGACTCACTCATTATTACTTGAATTGTTATGCATTTGGTAGTATTACTCAGTCATAGTGTTGGGGGTCGAGAGTTTCTTGTCACAGAAAGAATTCAGAGACAAGTCGCGGAGGTTAAGAAAGCAAAGCAAGGATTTATTAAGGGTTAGGTAGTACGCTCCCAAGGAAAGAGCGGGCAGACCCAGGTGGGTGACTGCCCCAAGTTTCCTTGGCAAGCTTGTTATGTGAATGTAAAAATGAATGGGCAGAGTATTCATTGGTGGGGAGGAGTTTGGGGTCATCTTTCCTGATCATCCCAGCTCCACCTTCCCAGGTGGGGAGGAGGGCTTTTTCATCCTTATTTAGTCTTGATCCGGAAGTTGGATGAGGTCGTAATGAACAAAAGGTTACATTCGGATGGGGGTATCATAAGCAAAGGTTACATTTGGATGGAGGTCATAATGATTGAAGGGTTATATTCGGATGGTGGGAATTCCTGTCCTGTCCCATCCTTCTGCCTCCAGGATACTTACCAACCCAGAAGGTATGGTTTTTTTATTAGTCTAGAGGATCCTGTTTTTCTTGGTCTGTCCCAGGACCCCTGCTGATTAAAAGATGTATGGTTTTCTGCCATTTGCCTGTGTCCCCCTTTTTCTGCTCATATCTAGCTTCCGGCCTGCTCTAACAATGAAACTTCATCTCTGCATGGGAAGGCACCTGGCTTAGGGGAAATCATTCAAGCATTAGAGTCAAATCAGCCAGGATTGAAAACCTGTTACCTTCTGGGGTTTTTTTTGTTTTGTTTTATTTTTTGGTTTTTGGTTTTGTTTTTTTGCTTTTAACAACAAATTACATAGATGTCTCTGATCCTTGGTTTCTTATATAATAAGAGATTAAAAATAGAACCTACTTCATGGGGTTGTAATGAGGATGAAATTAATTTAAATGTAAAGTTCAAGTTAGCACTTAGTAACCAACAGCTATTACTAATTTTTTAAATAATATTTAAGAAACACTTTAAAAGTCATCCCCTGTGTGCCTCTTATAGCATGAGAAGCTGATCCATGAATTGGAAGAGGAGAGACACTTACGTCTGCAGAGTGAGAAGCGGTTGCAGGAGGTGACCCTGGAGTCAGAGCGCAGCCGGATGCAGATGCGCGGCCTGCAGCAGCAGTTCTCCAGGTATTGTTCTGTCCTGAGCATCTTGCTTCAGGAGGTGCAATGACACCTTTGTTTGAATTCCCATGCATTTGTGGAGCTAATGACCAGCAGTTTAGACCTTCTAGCCAAGCCATCCGGTTGCATTTGGACCCATTTTCTGAAACTTTCCATGGGTGCCTCAGTCTTTATTGAAGTTGATTGTCTTTTCTTCCCCAGTGGCTTTCAAGGTATCTTTCAGTAAGATATGGTGGCTTTGTGGCCTATAAGCATGTCCTGTGGAAGGTCAGCCAGGAGGATGAACTTTTACTGGTCCTCATAAACCTATTTCAGGTGGCGAGAGTGTGACTCGTCCCATAAGCTCTTACTCATTACTTAGAGTAAATATTTAGGAACAGTTTTTTAAAAATCTAAATCAGTGAGTTTCTTTCCTTTAAAAAGATTTAACTTGAACTTGAAAGGATCCTGGAAAAGTAGTTTTTCTCTGATTTAATTCCAGCACAGTAAGAATCTTTCAGCTTTCAATTACAGTTAATATGGGGCCAGGTAAAAGTTCAACTTACTATTTAAAATCTATTCAGTTTTATGAAAAAAACATAAACTTGCACAATTACAGTCCTGGGACCAGATACAGGCCCCCTGTGAGGGACAGTTTGCTTTCATTTCTATATTTCATTCACCATTTGCAAAACTAGGAAAATAATTTTCTTTTCTCCCTCATGAGGATATCCCAGGCAGAATCAGGTTTGAGAAGTTGCCGAAATTTTTCCTTAGCAAACTGTGTGGGTCTTATCTTTAACTTACCATCGGGATTTGGATATGATCAGTAATGGATAATGTGCTTCCTCATTATGAGACTTTTATAATGACAGCTTAATTTTCAGATGTGTTGGAGGGAGAGGCCAAAATTGAGCCTTCAGATATTTATCTCAGGGTGGCTAATACTGTGAATATTTGCACCTTTGGTTTAGAGGCTTCTTGGAGGAACAGGGTAGGAAGGATGGATGACTCCTCTGTGTTCAGAGTCATAATTTAACACCCTGCTCAACTCTTCGAGCCCGTGATAATACAGGTGCTGTAGAAATGCACCAATCGATACTTAAACGAACGCATGTCCCACCCTCAAGGCTATTACTTATACAGCCCGGTGCTCAATTTTTCATTCTGTTTGATGGTAACTCTCATTTTATGTCTCTCAACTTGAAATAGTAGATCCTCCCCCACCCTCCGAAGCAACTTTAAAACAAGTACTCTTTGTAATACTTGCCATCTTCATGATATAAGAAAGGAGGCGGCAGATCTTGCTACCCTTGTGCTGTCTAATTGAGATGTCTCTGTATTCGGGCTATTGATTTGCAAGGCGTGAGGCGCATGGCGCAGTAAATTATTTTCATACGATGCCAGGTCACTTGCTGTAAATCAAATGACAATCCCATACAGATTTGGGCTGCACACGAGTTGGGGATACATCCTAGACTGAAAGAAAATATAATTATGTGTAAAACAAACAGTGTTGGGTTTTTCCCTACTGCTTTTGTGAAGATTTCTGCGCTGGCCCCTACCCCCGCCAGGCAATCAGTTTTCTTTGGAAGGCTTCACTGAAATTGGAAGTTCAAGTCCAGTTACAGCCAGGCAACTAACGAAATCAGCAAAAAGATGAGGTGTGTAACACATAGGATCATTGCACAATAATTTCAGTAGGCCCACTAAACCATTTCTGACGGCCTTTCACATTTTAAACTTTAATTTGTAAGATATGTCTGATTGTTTATTTAAATATTCCGGTTACTCTAATCTAAGTCTTTGTAAAATTCTCAGTGTTACAGAACATGTCTATAGCACATCACCCTTGGACGTGGTCAGAATCTAAATGCTCACATAAATAAAGTCTATGGTCCAAACAGTTGTATTGATTTTAAAATTGTGTATTTATAATTTTCTCCTTTTTTTCCTGGGTAGACTGGTTCCTTTTGTGCACGATGATGTCTGAGATGTCATGTAGACCTACCCTGAGTATTGTTCATGGGATGATTTTCTTTTAAAAATAATATAATAACCTACCTTTTCAAAGGGTGTGAAGTGGCTTACAGCAAAAGGTAGTTTTACAATCAGACTGTTAAAATAAAAACAGAAAATAAAGACCCAAAAGGGGGAATGTGGCAAGTGATCATACTTACACAGCCCAGCATGTTTTCTGAATGTGAGCACCTAGTTTAGCTCTAAGATTCCTGGCAGACAAGTTGAAAAGGAAAACACAAGAGGATATGTAATTCTTAACAGACAAAGGCTATGACTTCTTAAAGAGAGAAACATTATCTCTGATAATAAACTCATAGTAGAATGCCTCTCATAGTCCCCTCAGAGATGGCATTGAAGGATATAATAGACAATGTTCCAAGATGGTGCAAATTAAAATTAATTTGTAAAAGTATTACTACTTATGCTGTGTCACTTATGTCTGCAAAGTTAGGCAGTTTCTGGATTTCACAAACCACATGGTTTAAGAATGCTGGGTCTATGCCTAAGTGGAAACAAGTAAAGCAGGAAGAACTCCAGTGCTCAGAGTTCTCCAGTCAAGCACTCATCTTCAGGTTCATGGGGACATGTAAATATACATGTGTTATACTTTTCGAAAACCTCTTTTATGAACCAAGAGCCCAGAGGCGTGCGGTGCTGAGGCCTGGGCTGGGTTGGGTGAGGTATTTTCCTGGTATGTGTGATGAAACTGTAGCCATGGGAACATCTAAGCGGTAGTTAAGGAGATTCTGAGTCTCAGATTCAGGGATGATATGAGGCTTTGAAGGGGGAAGCAAATAATGAGGTTAGAAGCTGGGACAGTGAGGTGTATGTGTGAAATAGAGTCCAGGTGTCAGAATGAGCAATTCCGAATTGGTTTGAGGCTTGACTTTATGCAATTTCCGTTAGGTATTGGGCCTGGTGGCTTAAAGGCACCCGGCAAACCTGAGCTTCTGCGATTATCTGTGATAATGAGTAAAGGGATCCCTTACGTGATAAAAAAATCTATAAAAGTGTTTGAGTAGTTCTCTGTTATGTCACCACCAAACCTTCATCCATAATCCCTTCCTCCCTCTTGACCTCTGATTGGGGTACAATGATCAGCAGTCCAAAATTTGGGCAATTAAAAAAAAAAAGATATGACCAGAGGTTACATGATTAGCTCTAAGCTCATAAATCAGAAATTGCCTGCACGGACGGTGATTCAGGCAGCCATATCAAACTTGATTCAGACCATTTACCTTCTTTAATGTAAATACAGAGAAGAAAAAAGATACTTTCAAATTAAGCCTTCCCCATAGATGAAGACATGAGTCAAGCCGGATGCATAAGGTGGTACTTACAGGCAGGTGATGGTACTGTTAGGGCTGGCCCTTCCTTTTCTTATTACTTAGTGACATAAATCAAACATGCTTTCCAGATGTCATAATGATCACTTAACCCTTTGTCTGTGTGGTGTACGTGTCTGGGCTTATTTTATGTGGGATTAGTTTTGTGATTCACCCTATAATTCCGTCTCCACCATCCCTGTAACTGAACTGTGACTGTCAAGCCAGCCAAGGTTAATGGTGTGAATTTAGGCTAGGGCTCTGCCTTATATCCTATGTAAAGACAATTAGTGTTTGAACCTTCAACCTCATTCCTCCACCTTGAGGAATGCAGTTTTTATACTTCAGTTCAGCATATCTGGAGAAGCACTTCCAGGACACTGTCTCCAACTAGACAGGGTATATGAAGGTGGGATAACAACGATTTCTAAAAAACAGACTTGGGAAGAAAGAAATAAGCAACTCTACAGAGTACTGATTTCATGCAAACCATGCATGATTTGCACGTGTATTTGAATCGGTTCCTTTGGAAACAATCTAATGACTGTGTAGGCTGTTACTGAAAGCTGCTGTTCTTATCAGACAATCAACCGCTTTTATTGTGTGCGCAATAAGATAGGAGACAGGATGCATCCTCAGAAAGTCTACCCCAGTGGAGCTGCCTTATGTGCATATATGAACAAAAGAACACATTTATAGTTTAGCTATACATGAAGGGAAATTTTGTCAAAATTCTGGATACCCAGACTTCATATTTGTCAGTGGCGTGTTATCATGCAATGGCATGAGGCAAATCAGATGATATTAATGATTGTAGTGATACTAGCAGTAATGATACCCATGTGTATGGTGTGGCAGCCCTATGCTGCAATTTGTTTGAAGTGTTAAATTAGAATCAGCCTGGTAGACTCACCATCAGGCAGACATGTTTTGTAAACTATCAGCAGTTAAGCAAACTATATCACACCCAAAACATCAGGAACCCATCAGTTTCCCTGCAGCCTTGAAATGTTCCATGCATGGGTGTGTGTGTGTGTGTGTCTGTGTGCGCGTGCATTTACACCATGCAGTGTAAATTTAAGTAAAGGGAGCAGTGAAGCTTTATCACCCATGATTGACTAAGGTAGTTAAAAATCATCCAATGGAATCCAAGCTTTCGCTCTCTACTTCCAGGATTTCTCTGCACCCGTTTTGACCTCTGTGCTGTTATCTGCTGCCTTGAAGCTGTTTCTTTCCTTATTGTAAGGGAATTTCTCCTATCACAGTTGATTGCCATGCTCAAGTGCAGTCTTCTGCATGCCAAACGTCAAGGAGATGTACATTGAGATGGTTTTACTACTTAACTCGTTCACTGGCCACTGTTTACATTATTAGCTCTCAGAGACTTTATGGGGTCCTAGAGTTCATTTCCTGCTGCCCATTTGGAAGCTGTAGGCACCTGACGTAGAAGTGTGTGTTGAAGAAGGTAATAAGCCCTTAAGTGCCCTGCACACGTATTTCCTTCTACCTCTGTATCTGTCTGATACATTAAAAGAACGTTTTCCGTACGTCTTTAGAAGGAATGAAACATAACAAGAGAAGAGCTGTCAGCTGACCTTTGGGCATCAGGGCTCCTCTGCCCACCTTCTACACTTGTTCCCGGCTCCAACTGTTCGTCAGCGGTAACCCGTCACAGAGGCT